GCATAAAAAACTAAAAGTAATACAAAAAAAAGTGAAAATAAAAAAAGCCAACTTTTGGTGACCAGTCCTGCACATTAGGTATTTCACAGACTGCAAACCTAATTTGGAGTGGACATTCAGAATACACTGGAACTGTTAGAGTTCCACAGCACGCCGTTGCCATGTCAAGCTTTTGCTGCTTTAAATGAAGTTTCTTCTACAAATAAACTTTTCAGGCAGCTCGATCAGCAAAACAAAAGCAGTGCGGGACACAGAAAAAATTAACAAAGCTAGGCTAAACTGTCGAGAGCAATGTTCAGTCTTCAGTGAAAAGGTATTGAGCAATCAAAACTTAGCTCCAGAAAGTTATGACTGCTCTGAATGACACATTTTTGTTTTAATAAATACCTCGCAGCAAGATGGAAATGAGATTTCTTACATGTGATGAAACATTGCCGTAAGGCATAGTGTCACGAGTGCTGCAAAAAACTACCGGTCTTTGACACACGCACGAAAGAATTACGTTCAGTAATTCAGAGTAGGTGAGCAAAAAATCAGTGCGGAATCACAGGACAAGAGCAAACTGAGGCACTGGTAGCAGCTCAAAAGAAATGGCTTTTTCATTCAAATGTAAGAAGAAAAAGGAAACTAGGACTTAAATGTCCATTCAGTAGCATCGAACACTTTACTGTCACAAAAAAAAAGAAAAAAAAAAGCAAATTCATTTGCAATGGACAATTCTCGCCTGATTTGAAAAATCACGGAAAAATTGTGACGACGGCTTTAATCAAAAGGTCTTCAGCTGTCGCCTTTTTTACGACCTTCTTCGGTTTTTGGGCCATACTGCTTGTAAAGTTCTGCAAATGACGGCACACGCGGCAACTGGAAAACGTACTCCAGACGATATATAATTTATGCAACATGCTTGAAATAAGTAAGGAAAAAAACGAAGCAAGTAGTAATGGCGAAAAGGCCTAAGCAGTACCTCGTAATTCTGATCAAGATAAATGCCAATATAGATCCCAACAGCTACTGAGAGCTAAAATTAGAGATGACCAGTGAAGTGACAAAAGGAATATTTTGTTATCCTACACCTTTGAATAAGGAACGCAAAAAGAAAACTTTTGTTAAATACAAGAAGATTCAGCAGGACTTATTTCGCTACAGGAGTATGTCCAATTTTCCCACAGTAAACGTCTCTATCACACAATCAATAATAAAGAATCTCCTGCGAGAAAACTTAAAGAAACCTACAGTATGCAAAAGAAAACCCATCCGATCTGCTAAAACGAAGTTCAGAACTGCTTTGCGCTTCAGCGTAACACTACAAATTTGAAACCGCCAAAACAGATTTACAGTCCATAAAACAAAGAAATACCACTACAAAAACCTGAAAGAACCGCAATTGGAAATGAGACAAAAGAAGCAAAGCGGAACAAAAAAGTGAAAAAGCAAATGAACCCTAATAGAGGTTCTCATCCTTTCTCACCTGCTCATTCTTGATAGAGTACCGCCATTTAGGAGCTAAGCTGCAAAGCGACAGTGGGATATATATCTAGTCCAAATCAAATGAATTTTAATTTTTTCCAACAACACAGACAGTAACCGTACAGACACAAGGCGCAACACAACCCAAATGAAAGAAAAATGGCACAACTCTTTGAGGCTTTCAAGTCATAAAATGCAACAAAACTGGATGGATTAAACTAATTTCCCTGAAACGAACCAGATCATATAGTGTTCTTCAAACTGCTGAAGTAGAGATCAACTCTTTCTTCCCCGCCTAAACGGTGTAACAGCAGCAAAGAAAACTTTGCTTATGCGACCAAGGCAAAACAACTCTGCCTTTACACATGTACGGCAGTTTTTACCAAACGACGCATTGACCGCCTTCTCTACTCCTCACTGATGATGGCAAATCACAGCAGGAAATCCGCGAACGACTTGCTTGTGAAAAGATTACTAGACTTGCTACGCAACAAAGAGGAACAAATTTTCCAAAACGTCAAACTCCTAGTTTGTTCAAATGTATATTTACACAAAAATCTCCAAGTGGCTTTTAAAAATTTAGCAATCAGAGGGAGCAGTTTAGAAATCCATAAGCCCATTTCCACTATGTAACAAGAAAAATTATCTATTCTTAGTAGTCTTGACAGTCAAATGACTATTTTAATGGAGCTACTTTCCCCCCTATGCACCACAAACAAGTTAAAATTAACATTTTTAAACTCATCTTCACGTACAAGCAAATAACTTATCCTAGCCGGCCCATAGCAGGTTCTAAAGGCTTTGCTGTACAAAAGAACAAATTTCTAAAATATTTTTCACAAAATAGAAAATTTTAGTCTTCCCCAGTAGCGTTGCAACTACGAGCGAAAAAGCACCAGTATTATAAAATGTAAAATCTAAACCGTTTCCGAAGGGAAGGTCTCGAATGGAAGGAAACAGATCAAGCGCTGGCGGAGCTGTGTACAAGGAAGCAAACACTGAGCGTGAAAAAGTTCTTGAATTCAAATTACTAACACTGTAAATAGAAAGCAAAAACTAAGAGCCAGCTTAATTATAGACATCGAAAGTTAGAACACAGTATCACACCCGTATGCTTTCAGTTAAGGAAACCGCAAAAATTATGTAACACTCGAATCACCTAAAAGAAAGTATACTTCCTAAGGTTCATCGTCCTCCCGCACAAAAGCCTACTTCTGTCAACTCATACTCGAATATAATGCAAGCAGTTCGTACCTAAATTGATTTGCTCCACATCTCAGAACAGAATTTATCGCAGTGCACATGACAACGTGACCTGTAAGCAATGACCTACCATCAAAAACTGTGACCTTCTGAATCATCCATCCTCAAACCATTACCTTAGAAATTAACAAACTCTTATCACTTCCCCACCTCCGAAGACTTACAGCAAAAGCGGCCGTAATGTCACCGTCGTCAATCAAATAAACATCCATCTAGTAACCCCTCCCACCAACTCGATATTCTCAACCCAGAGAAATAAACCTCAAAGGAACAGTCCAGCTGATCCAGCGATCTCCTTCCCTAATACGACTCAGTAACTACCGTTAAAGTAACAAAATCCTGTACGCATAAAACCTTTAAAACACCAACTTCAGGCATTGAAAAAATAAAATTATTTTAGAAAGTTAACTGAATCTAACAATACAGTAAATTAATAATGTATAAAGCCAGCAACACGTCACCTACAGCTCACTCATGCCACTGGCAATACGTTCAAAACCCTTCAATACAATATAGTCCGTGTCGGTCAATTACGAAGATTTTAGTTCACTACATACAGTTCAATATGTGTCTACAGACAAATGCACTCATATCACAAGACAACACAAAAAATTGAAGAGAAACAAATAATCTTTATAATTAAGATACTCTGATAAGTCGAGGTGCATGGAACTAGGGTTCCACCCTAGCTACAAATAGCAATAAAAAAATTGGACTTCTTGCCAAAAAACCTACAAATTGCTGCACTTAAATCACACAACATAAAAGCATGATTTTTAAACAAATGATTACTACGAAAATTGGCTACGTATCAATTCATTTACAATAATACAATTTCTCCGGCACTCTTTTCTTCAGCAAAAAACATTTTTCAATCCACTTTCCAGTGACTATCGTCCCTGCAAAAAAAAAATATCATTTTCAAAAATAATCAAAGAAATAAAAACCATTTTAAAACAATACCTTTCTTTCCCACAGAACGCCACTTTGGTGTGTTCGGAAAGGCACATATCAGATGTGTACAATCAGAAGTCCAATCCGTTCTATAATCAGCTCCCATATCTAAAGCTTTTTCCCGTATTGCACCTCGTAATGGATTTTCATAACCGCTTAAGCAAAAAACCACACCATCCAGTAGCTAAACGAAAAAAATACGATTATTCCAGCTAAAGGTCCTAATAGAACTTGTCAGCTAAAATATTCAAAACAAAAAACAGCATAGGTTCAATTCATTTCAAAAAAACATTTCAGTACAGAAAAAATTTAAAAATAACTTGCTCTTCTTGGCAATTATACAAAAAAAAATTTTGTCCGCCCGAGAGATTTAGAAATTATAACTTTATCAAAGGGAACAGATGTCTCCTTCTTAGCATACGCAACGTTACGTGCCCCATCACTCGTTGACGAAGGACCAGGACTTGATATTGACGGCAGCTCCGTGCTCGTCACATATCTACTGGTTTTCTTCAATAAACTAAAATGAACACGACAACAGAGGGAACAGCATCATCAGCAATGTTCACAAGTATAGGTCTTAAAAAGCTAGTCGGCATGTACGTTATAAGTACCATAAAAATAATATTCAGCAAAATGGCTATCAAATTAGTAACAGTAACACTTTGTTTCCCACCAGTCTTTAACAACTCACTCCAATTTTTTTTTTGGATAAAACAGCCGAAAGCTTCTTAACAAAAAAGAGAACGGTAGTTCCCCAAAAACGTAATTACAACATTAATTTAAAAGAACCTTGCGGACTTCTAATGATGGTCGCAATTTTTTGAACATCCCTCCGCAGTAGAAGGAAGATGTGAGATCACTTGACGTCGCTTTTAATTTTAAAGGAATTTTTGGCACCTGTTCTTTGTGCTGCCGTTCTCTATCTTCACCTTTTACCACAAAAGATATAAAAGAAAGTCCGTAGGGTAATTTTTTGTTGAATGGTTGACTGCACACAACCTAAAACGCAAGTTTCGAGATCCATATTTAAATTGCCAGTTACTGAAATTGAAACTGCAAAAAAAAAAAAAAAAAAAAAA